CCGACTATCTTGTGTCTCACCCTATCAAGTCTAGTGAGCTGGCAACATCGTCTCCAGTAGTTCATTTCCATGGCCTTAATTTTTGATTGGTTTCTTTGGTTTATTTCCCAGAGTTCGGCGCCATACAGCCCAATACTTTCTATTATTGTTTTATAAATTCTTCTTTTATTTTCTTTTGTTATTTTTTATTCCATAGTGGTCCGTGTAGCTGTCTGGTGGCTGATCTTGCTTGGCCAATCCTGGAATGTATTTCTTCGCTACTTCCTACTTTTGATGTTATTTAGACTCCCAAATATTTAAGAATGTCTGTTGGTTTTATAGTTCCCATTTCGATTTGTAGGCTTTCTGGTTTTTCTCCTACAACTAAGTACTCAGTATTTTGTATATTAATTGTGAGGCCCCATTTGGTGTACTCATCTTCCAGTTTGCTAAGCATGTAGCCTACATCACTCTCGTCTTCAGCTAGAATGGCTTGACCGTCAGCGAAGTGTATCGTGTACAATCTATCACCTCCGATTGGGATGCCCATATTGTAGCACTTTCTTCTCCACAGTGAGAGTGCCTCATTAAGATATATTTTTAAGAGTGTAGGTGCTATGCAGCAGCTTTGCTTTAGGCCCTTACTAATAGGAATTTCCCTAGTTAATCTATTTTCAGTTTTAATGTTTACCGTCATATTTTTGTAGAGCTCTTGTATATTTTTTTTGCTTATTCCTTGTTTTTCCATTGCTACCCAAAGCATTGAAAGCATTGAAAAGTGGTACACTATCGTATGCCTTTGTCACATCTATAAAGACTATTTGAGTTGAAAGGTTGTGGGCTAATCTTTTCTCGATAACTTCCTTTAGAAAAACTAATTGTTTTAGAAAAGATCGTAGAGAAAAAAAAGCATATAAAAAATCGCATAAAAAAAGACATTACTTGCCTTGCAAAAGTAGGAATAAGTCTCGTAGACTTCTAGAATTACATAAAACCAAGACAAAACAAAAAAAAATTGCAGAAATTAGAAGAAATAGGCTGCATGATAAATTACTTTGAATATCTGATAAAAATTCATACAAAAGCTTTAAAAAAACTTGTATTCAAAACTTAATAATTTTATTTAATGGGAAAATATTCATTATCATCATCATCATCATCTAGCCTTCATTTATCACGTCCACTGCTGGGCATAGGCCTCCCTTAAACTCCTCCATTCTTTGCGATTTTGTGCTCAGGAAAGTATTAGGTATTACTAATAGGAAAATATAGATTTACATTTAAATTTTTAATCATTGTCGCTATCTGATAATGGTTTGCACTGTTTGCGAGGTGGCTAAAAATCATCTTCATCATCAGAAGAAACTGTCTCTGCAATAGATATTTGCGGTAAAGGCGATGGATTTTTACAAACTTCATTCTCGTTCTATGTAGCTTACCATATCTAGACATGCAGTTCTGCAGCTCACATTGTAAGGGGGTTGGTTTTTCTTCCTCATCATTATCATCTTCTAGACTCACGACGCCATCTACAGTTAGATCTAAAGTTTGATCAATTATATCATGGTCACTTAATGCATCACCTCTAAGTAATTCATCTATATAATCGTGGCTGAAGGTATTATATAGAACCATCTTCAGTAGTTTCATGTGTCAAATTAATTATTTCATCTGATGAAATAATTAATGTGACATTGGTGTCGATGTTTGAATGGTTGCATTGCTTATTACACATATTGGCCAATCATATTTTTAACAGGCATTTAAAGTTCTTGGTTTTATTTGAGCGGAAACAGATGTAACATGAATCAAACGATCAAAAATAGAAAATTGCTTCCGCACATCTTTTACTGTTAAGGGCCCATTTTCTAGTTTACTCACGCTGGAGTTGTAAGTTGCCTTTATGTAATATTTTTTGCAATTTGCAACGTTGCAATTATGCGTTGATCTAATGGATGAATTAGGCTTGTTCTATAGGGCGTAAGAAATACTATTTGACCGTTTGGATAATCTAAGTGTAGATGACCTGCTGCATTGTCAGTAATTAATAAAACATCAGCGCTTTCATCAGCGTTAAATACTTGATTGGCACAATAGTTCCCATCTTTAATAATTTTCGCTAGCTCCAGTGGAAATATTTTTGCTGCTGCTTCATCTGCTGTAGCACTCTCTGCTGTAATATTAATATTATGAAGTGCACTTTTTTTATAAACCCGGTTAGACATCCTTTGCCAGCTGAAAATTCTTTACCAGCTTGGAAAGTGAAAGTTGGTAGCTCTGACTGTTTCATTAACTCATAAAACTGAAGAGCTTTTTCCTGGATGAAATAACCACTTACAGGAATTATTCTTGAAATTAGTTCCTCTATCCAAATTGCGATGCCTCTTTCTGTCCTTTCCAAAAATCTTTCTAATAATAAAATTGCAATTTTCGTTTTCAACGAAATTGATTTTCTGTGATACATTTTAATTCCCCAAATTTTTTTAATATACCCCAGCCCAAATCTATAGATCCACGTTTCAAAGTTCACCGTTGTGTCCTTCAAAAAACCTGAGCACAGGTTTGCAAGGTACACTAACTTGCACCTGGATTTTCTTCTTCTCTTTCGATCCCACATTTCCCATCCAGAAGTTACGTTACATTCTTGATGTTTTTTACTTTGGTGAAAAATAAAAAAATAATTTATTTACTTAACTCTTCTGCCGCAATTTTTTATTTTTTCGTAATTACTAGGAACAATAATACAAAAGGTATTACTGTAATCTCTCAATTGCTTGAGATATCATTTATTTCCGCATACTTTTATTGGCACAGAATTATTAGATATAATAGACAATATTATAGTGGTATTTGATAACGTTTCCTGTCATAAACATGTGTTTCTTAGGATAATAAAGATTATCGTTTAATTATAATTAGAAACAACAAAATCGAGTAAATTTTGTTTATAATAGCAGTAATCTAATTAAACTGAAATACCAGACGAGAACAGAAGAGACGATCTTGTCCAGAATAATAAAAAATATTTCTTTAAGGCGCTGGAAAAGAACAAGAGTGATACAATATAAGCGTTCGTACAAGCAAAATGAAAAAAAGGAGAGTCAAAAGAAAGTAGAAGCGGTTAAATACACAAAAATAACCGACAAAGATCTAAATTTTGCATAACATAGCTATTAACAATTGCTATTAATTAGGCATTTTAGAAGAATCATTTGGTAAACAAGTTTTTAAAAAAATTAACCATCGGTCATTTTGGAGATTTGCAAGCTGATAATCAAACGACATATTCTAAACATCGTGAGATACTTTATTGAAAAACTCTTTCAAATATTTTGCAGTATCATTATATATGTATAAATGGAGAGTGTTTTCCTATCTAATTCCTCCAGGAATAAGTAATGAATAGATAACCGGTGGATATTCATTTAATGTTGTTCTTCTTATTCCTCTAGCGCTACAACGCTATGGGAATTTTGGCTTGCTCAATAATTGCATTCCATTCCCTTCTGTCATTGGCGATTCTCCTCCAATTCCGAACCCCCATAATCCTTAGATCATTCTTGATACTCTTTAACCAATGTTTTCTATAGCTGTCGTGGTACGATTTAGGCCGGGCTCCATTATAATTTAATTCCTCTATAGTTGGAAAATTCTTTCCTATTTCCTTACTTGAATATGGGGTGTATAAGATGTATGAGACCACATTTTCATTCTTCAGAGATTGTTACAGCATCCCATATTTGAATGATTAAACCATGTATGTTTTTGTTTTCATAGTGCTGGTTCTCCATTTTTTAGAATATCAGCTGTGATTGTATCATTACCAGGGGTTTTATTATTATTTAGTACCTATTATACTTGTTAACTTATCATACATTCGGAGTACACATCCAAAACACGGTGGAGAAGGCAAAACGAAGTTTGGAGACGTTGATACGGCTGATGCCAAACATTAGAGGCTCAGATAGTATCAAAAGAAAGGTGCTAAATGGAGTTTTCCAGTCGGTGGTAACCTACGCTGCCCCCGTGTGGTGTAGTGTACTAAACACGGCGAAATAAGCTAAGTTGGTGGAGACTTCGCAAAGGCGCATGCTCCTCAGGGTACCTAGCGCATATGGGACAGTTTCAAATGAGGTTCTATATGTGCTTGGAGGGGTAATATCGATCGTTAATGTGCAAAGAGCGAGCGAGTGTGTATGCGAAGAGGATGGATGTAAATATAGATGAGAATGAGAGAGAAAGAACGATAGTAGAGTGGCAGAGAGAATGGGCGAATAATAGCGAAAAGGCAAAGTGGCGAAGGAGCTTATTCACGATCTGAGGCCGTAGTGGCAATATAAGTTCAGGAAACTAGACTACTTCCTGATGCAGTTTCTGGCCGGACATGGTAGTTTTGGCACCTTCACAAATAGAATAGGCAAATCTGCCTCGGCAGACTGTACTGTTTGTGGGGTACCGGATGCTCCCTCCCACATTTTTAACTGCCAGAGATGGACAAAATGATGGATTTCAGACTGGATGAAAGAAACATTGTAAACATAATGTTTGAGAGAAGAGAAAGAATGGAGAGAAGTACACAGTCTGATTTCTGGGGTGATGAAGAAATGCCAGGGTGAAGATTTCCCTCACCGTTGTCTCTCAGAATTCAATGGGTACCTTCTTAGGCTCTTACTGGAATCAGGCAATACGGCAAATAAAAAAAACTTATACATATCATATATATAATTTAATCTTGGAAAGGTCCATAAATTTCTCTCTCAGCTGATATGTTTTCTTTTTAGTCATTTGGGATTCTAAAAGATTGAAGGATCTTTTACCAAAATTTTCTTTATGCCAATGCCATTATATTTGGTCGGTGACTTTTTTCATTAAAGTGACTTAGTGCTTTACTTAGTTTCTTACATTTACATCGTCATTTAATCGGATAGTCGATATTATCTGTACCTGTATGTATATTTGTATAATCTATTAACTAATAATTTTAGATACAATAAATCTTATTTGATTTATTTTTGTTTAAGTGCGAATGCAGTGACGATTACTGCAGAGACCAAAAAGTACGTACGGACATCTGTAAACCCAAGGTGATGCACTCGATGTCCTCCGACGTGGTACCGTGTCGGGTGGCGCAGTGGATTTGCATGGCAGATGCACTTTGTTCAAAAGCCCTGGAATATTACAATGAGTTTTGTAAAGCTATGTTCCACGGGAAAAAGTGCACTGCCAGATGCAATAACTCGATCAATATATTACGAAAGCAGGAGAAAGCGACGAAGTTGAAAACCTGCAAGTGTGATGGTAAGTACAATATAGGTAGATGATATCATCGTCCAGTCTGCTAAAATTATTGTTAGCTGTATTGTGTCTCTGCCTGTTTGATTTTTTTATGCTTTTCATGGTTATCAATGAGAGATGTATTATGGTGGAACAGTGGATCAACTAGATATGGGGTAGCATAGCATTCATGCCCTATTAGCCATTCTCCTGTTATCTGAGGATCTCATCTTTGGGGTACGAAGAGTTAGAATACACAAACAGTCGGTTTTTACATCTTTCTTGTTGACTCACTATTTACAATTTATAATTAATAATTTGTATAGTACTTAATTAAAAATATAAGCGATTTACTTGAATCTGCATGATGCTTTCGTTAACTACAGTTAGCTAAGACTAGATCTGTTAAATTATGAATGCCAACAACTAAACTACATCACAATTCTTCAGTTGCACGATTCCTGTCTCTATATCTTTTATAAAATCAAAGTTCTATTACATATCGCCTCGTTACTAGGCCAAGTACGTTCGTACAAAACTGCTGAATCTACAAGGTTATCTTACAGTGTAGTGAAATGTTATAAAACAAGACACGTATGGTATCAAATACGTGTTCTTCAGTTTTATATTGAAAACAAATATTTATTTATTGCGATATAATGATTTTGGTACTTCTAATACTTTTGAATTACTGTAATAATCTCAGTATTTGTAATAAACGTCTTTTACTGCTTTCATACTACAGTATGTAAAACATGTAGATAAATAATTGAAGATCTTTGTTTTAAAAAACGTGAGCCTTCTAATCTGCGATTCAAGTTTATTGTGTATTTTACTCGTTAGCCCTTTAATTATTTCTTACAAACAGCATTTAACAGTTATTTATCAAGAATAAGTTTCTTTGACGTTATGTCATCATTCGTTTTTACAACTTCTACTACATTACCTTTCATTTCTCTATAAGTAACAATACCAACTACATTTCTAGTGTTACTTTTCCCTACATACCACAATTTGTATACTTCAGTAGTTATTGTATAGTTCTTTCTTAGTAGTAGTTCTTTATTAGTTAAGGTATAGTAGTTCTTTCGCCCCTTGTTTTTTCCATCTCGTCTTTTGAATGTAACCCTTCTACCCTAAGGTGTTGGGTGTAAAGTCTCTTTTTAGGTTTCATATACAAACTTCCTCCAATTCTTCTTGTTGCTTGCCAATTTCTTCGCCTGCTCCTTGGTGACTCCTCTCCTGTCTAGTATGGCGGCAATTTCATCGTCCCAGGTCTTCATCGGTCTGCCCCTCGGTCTTTTTAAGGTTCTTCTCGCTTCCACACTTGTTTCACTTGGCTTTTTTTATCCATCCTTACCATGTGGCCGTACCATCTCAGTTGGGCTTCTTCGATTTTCTCCTCTATTGTTTGGACTTTAAGGCGTTCTCTTATTTCATCGTTCCGTATCCTGTCCATTCTGGTTACCCCTAGTACTCATCTTAGATACTTTATTGAAATACTTTGCAGTTTATTTTTTAGTCTGGTGGTAAGCGTCCAGCTTTTACATCCAAATATTAAGATAGGTACAAAACTGTGTTATAGATAGCTATCTTTGCTTTTTGGGATACTTCTTTCTCGATAGGAATGTGCTCTTAATTGCGTGGTATATCCGGGAAGCATTTGCTATTCGATTGTTTATCTCTGCTTCTTGTGTACCCTTACTCTCTAGTTGCACTCCCAGGTATTTGAAGGTTTCGACTTGTTCTAAGTAAAGTTATTGATTTTAATGTTTATATGTTGGTCTGTTTTCCCACATACCATGACCTTGGTTTTACTTTCATTAATTCTCATATTACGTGTTTCAAGTTTATCTCTCCATATTTGGAGGTTTCTCTTAAGTGCGTATTTGTTTTTTCCAAATACGACGAGCTCATTTGCAAATGCGCATTCCGCTATCTGTATCATTTCCAGGTTTCTAGTCCAACAAATATTTTCGATGTTTCTTCTCTAGTTTCCTTCATTACATCATCTAGTACAATATTAAACAGCCTAGTACACCTCCTTGTCGTAAGCTATCATTGACTCTAAACTCTTCTGATTCCATATTATCTATTCTTACTCTGTTTCTTGTGTTCTTGTATAGGCTCATAATAGCTTTTCTGAGTCTTTTGAATGTAAGCAATTTATATTCGTCTTTTCTTTCTTTTTTGTTTGTTTTTTTTACATAGGCATTTGCGATTCAGCCGTTCACAACTAAGTTCTTCCCAAAGGAAAGAAAATAATTATCACAATGCATATTTGGTTATCAGTAAAGGAACAAACATGGTTACTCGCGTCTAGTCTAGGAACCCATCAAGACATTAAATTAAAACGCAAACTAGACTGGGTCACGGATAGTAATTTTAAAACAAATGGGATAAAACAAAGGTTACTATTTTCACTGAGCTTACAAATTGAGGTTACTTTTCGAAATAAATTCTGTTAAGTGTCTTTTCTTAAGTGAATCTACCAACTTTATACTTTTATCTGGAAGACTTCTAAGATATTGAACCTTTTCCTGATTTTTCTAACTTTTAATGGTCTTAAATAGTCTTCGACCAAAAATCCGAATCTCTAGGATTCCTTCTGTAAGGACTATCCTACAAGTCAGCGTATTTTTGCACGTATCTCACCACTGAGAGGCACCTAGTCTATATGAGATACCAAAAAATCGGTTTTACTGATCTTTTAAATGTTGATATTTATTTTCAGGTTATGAAGATTATGATTGTCATAGTATACAAAGAAACATGGACAAATTATGCTTCCACAAACATTCCAGGCACCACAACAGAACTCACACGGAGTGGCATCACAACACAACCCACCACGAGTTCAAAGACGACGAAATACCCACGGTGATTCTTGCCAGCAGTTCTCTCAAACTTACCATAAGCTGGGCGGTTATGTTTTCCATAGTATTAGCTCTAGCGACGTGAAGAATAGCGTCTTTTTCAAAACAAATCGTAGTTATCTGTTCAATCTACCTCTTTAGATAGTAAAAAGTATTTATTTGTTTGAAAAGTTGTGATACTAAAGCTATATGAAAGATAAGAGAAAAGCCAATTTTAAACTTGCCTTTTAAAAAGAATTCGTTGTGAACAAAGCAATAGTTTTAGTTGATGCAACGCGACCAAGAAGTACATAATCATTACCAAAGGAATGGAGTTATTCGGATTTTTAAAGTTCCTATGCGTCAGCAGTCAATCGGTAAGATCTGTCAGTAGGGTTAGTAGATAAGCGAAGTATGTTCTGGCCAATCCCTTAATCAAATCTTACGTCACGTTTTTACGTCACGTATTATGTCACGTTTTATGTTAAACGTCAAATCTCAAGTCACGTCTTTATATGCATTTTCCTCAGTTCTGCAGCCACTTTGTCTAATTGGATCTCTCGTCGTACAAACGAGTGGATACTACTGTTACCATTCCAAAGACCATTAGAAAAATAAAGAAATTTCCTATATGCTTTATATAAGGAATTTGTACCTACCTAATAAAAAATTTCAAAGAATAAGCGAATTGATGTTCTATAGTTCTGGACATATAAATATCGAAGTTATATTACGAAAATTAAGTTCGATTTTATGGAAGGAACAATTCTCCAACTGCTTGGTATCCACGAAATCCAACAGTAAAAAGTATTGGTGAGGGCAAAGGAATATTGCAGTCTTTTTGTATCTTTAAGTAAATAATGAAGCTAATCTTGAATAAGCTACTAATATAATGAGAGTCCTGCCAGTCCTTTCAAATTAGTTAATTGTGTAAATATTATTAATAATATATATTGTTTTCTTGGATTGTGTACTGTGATTTTGAAATACAATTTTTTAATCGATACTGGAATTTTCAATATCTGGGTAGAGGTTCTTATTTTGTACCCTTTCTACGTCCCCTTTTCGGACCACCCACGAAATATTACACTACTTCTTAATAATGTGAATAGTTGCAATTCCAAAAAAAATTTCTTACAATATTTTCAGCATGAACTAGAAATTTATGTTGACACTTCGCTGTCAAAATTTTAAGGTTTGTCTAAAAAAAATTACCAGCTTTGTCTTACCTTTTGGCTTAGTGTCCTTTTGGCATTGTCTTTTGCGTTTTGTTTTTATCTAAACGTATTCGCTACCTTCTTACCATTCCAACGAGCCCTCGTACGTCACGATCTGACCAATAACACTGGAGATATAATGTAATGCCGTTTTGGCACAGTCTTTACGTTTGATTTTTATCTCAACACTGTCACTGGCACTGTCTTTGCGTTTGCTTTTTATCTCATCGTGTTCCCCGTCCCCTCCGCTTTCCAATGATACCCTACACGTCACGATCCGACGAGCCGTTTGGACGTTACAAGCTTAGTGTCCTTTTGGCATTGTCTTCTGCGTTTTGTTTTTATCTAAACATATTCGTTACCACCTCACCTTTCCATCGATACCTCACACGTTGTTGTACGTTGAGCCGTTTGGACGTTGCAAGCTTAGTGTCCTTTGGCATTGTCTTCTGCATTTTGTTTTTATCTAAACATATTCGTTACCCTCTCCCCTTTCCATCGATACCTCACACGTTGAGCCGTTTAGACGTTGCAAGCTAGCGTCGATGTCTTTGCGTTTTGTTTTTGTCTAAACATATTTCGTTACCACCTCCCCTTTCCATCGATACCTCACACGTTGTTGTACGTTGAGCCGTTTGGATGTTGCACTCTTAGTGTCCTTTTGGTATTGTCTTTTGCGTTTGCTTTTTGGATTAACGTATTTACCATCTCCTCCCCGTTCCACAGAGCCCTCGTACGTCACGATCTGACCAATAACACTGGAGATATGATGTAATGCCATTTTGGCACAGTCTTTACGTTTGATTTGTATCTCAACACTGTCACTGGCACTGTCTCCGCTTTCCAATGATACCCTACACGTCACGATCCGACGAGCCGTTTGGACGTTACAAGCTTAGTGTCCTTTTGGCATTGTCTTCTGCGTTTTGTTTTTATCTAAACATATTCGTTACCACCTCCCTTTCCATCGATACCTCACACGTTGTTGTACGTTGAGCCGTTTGGACGTTGCAAGCTTAGTGTCCTTTGGCATTGTCTTCTGCATTTTGTTTTTATCTAAACATATTCGTTACCCTCTCCCCTTTCCATCGATACCTCACACGTTGAGCCGTTTAGACGTTGCAAGCTAGCGTCGATGTCTTTGCGTTTTGTTTTTGTCTAAACATATTTCGTTGCCACCTCCCCTTTCCATCGATACCTCACACGTTGTTGTACGTTGAGCCGTTTGGATGTTGCACTCTTAGTGTCCTTTTGGTATTGTCTTTTGCGTTTGCTTTTTGGATTAACGTATTTACCATCTCCTCCCCGTTCCACAGAGCCCTCGTACGTCACAATCGGACCAATAACAACGGAGATATGACGTAATGCCGTTTTGGCACAGTTTTTGCGTTTGATTTTTATCTCAACGTGTTCCCCGTCCCCTCCGCTTTCCAACGATACCCTACACGTCACGATCCGACGAGCCGTCGCGCCTCCACCACAAAAAGCGTCAAAAATGAGCAGAATGAACCTTAGCGATTTCCCATGTTAATTTCCATATGAGTTGGCCTAGAACCGGTGCTACCCTTTTACTATGGCTATATTTTTTGTTTATCGGATTTAATCGTTTTAAAACAGATCTTACCAAATAATCCTGCCAACCTCAAGAAATGTATTATGTACCCTGTACATATAAAAAATAACTATATAAATACTAGAATACTTGTAATTATGAAAGACGATATTTACCAGTGAATATTATATTTATAAACCAAAAAGCCTGAAGTTAGAAAGACATAACCAAAGAAGGCTTGCAGCTGTATATAGCTTTAAATTATTTCAAACGGTGGCTTTATACATGTCAGCACTTCTGGATTGTAAAATTTGTGTATATATTTTTAATAATAGTATCTGTTACCATGTTTGAATTATACCTATCACTCGTAATTCGATTACAGTTAGCAGCAAACAATATTTTTTAGTGCGGCTATTTTTTGGATTTTTTCTGTGTCGATCTTTTTCACTATAATACTTTATTAATAGATTAAAAATTGAAAAATGTCACTATCAATTGTTTGAGAAATGCTTTGGATACTTACCACACTCAAAAGGTAAGCCAAGTGTATCCTCAAAAGGACTTTTTTGATATACCGACACGATAAATATCATTAAAAAACCTAGAATGCTTCTAAAATCTATAAAGGAGTCTTCTTCAGACGCTAGGCCTGTTCTTTCCCTGCTGTCTCCGCCCCTGGTCTTTTTAGCGCTTTTGACACTAATCCCCTCCTTCTTCGTGCCTACGCTACCCTTTATTTGTTTCAGCAACTCGGCGTAATATTTTCCGCCTCCTTTCACGATAATCTTCTGCGTCCCCGCCCTAATTTCTTAATTTCTTCTTGTTCATACTCCTCCAACACGAGGTTGAGGTCCATACCTCTAAAGGTGACTTCAAGGAGCTCCCTAGGGTTCCTACCTCTGTAGCCGCTCACTACTTTTAGGGATGCCTATCTGGTCCCTACAATCTCTATGTCTTCCCTCAATTTAGCCAGTAGTCTGTTGTCCCCGTCCATTTTCATCTCACTTTTTTCCACAGGGACCATAAAAATGTTCTAACGGCTTCCTCGGTTCTGCAAAGGAAATTGTGTTAAAAATATTTCATTCTTTCTTTTTTCTAAACTGCCTTTGAGATTTATTCAATTTTACATGTTTTTATACCTTTAAAACATTTTCCACTCTTAAGAATGTCACAGTTTTTTATAATTTATTTAAGTTCACAAATTATCTGATAAAAAACCTCGTTCTTCAATTATTTTACAAAAAATATTGCAAATAAAAAGTTGTTAAAATAGCCAATCATGTAAAAATCAATTCAACTACTCCAAACAAATTAATATTTTTAAAAGATAGATGCATTTTTATAATAAAAAATTATTTATTTGGATTAAATTTTTTTAATGATATTTGTCGCTCTAATTCTGTTATCTCATTTTTTTTAAACAAAACTTGGATAAACACAAACTAAAGCGTTTGAAACACTTCAGACAAGTTTTTAACAAAGTAGGAGAAAATATAAACTTTTAGCCAAACATATAAAAAAAGAACAAGAAAAGTTTATTTTAACCCACCTGGCGGGCAAAATGACACATTAATAGCGATTGATATTCGTCAGTCGGTACAAAGCTCACAAACAAACATTTTTGTTTTCTTGTCTTGTCTGGCGCACTCAGCATGTGCCCACTTTTGACACGAACAAAAGCATAGTCATAGCTCACTTTTTTTAGACAACTTGTACAGTTCTGTACAGGAAATGCAAGCAACATCAGTATTTGCTTCATTGACAGAAAAAGAATTTTATGGAGGGTATTTTTGGAGGGATCTCTGGTTTTGGTTTGCTTTTTTTGCCTCCTCCAATTTGGAGTTGAATTAAGAATAGAAGTACCGTGGCGTTTCCTTGCCTTTCTTTTTCTATGGCCGGAAACAAATGGTCCGACTGCAACTGGACTTAAATCTGCCGGAGTAACCAGGAGTAATATGCCACTTGTTGGATTTTGCAAGTTTGACTGAGCTGTCATCACATTAGGGACTTCTATAGTATATAGGTTTGACACTATCTGCTACAATATTTGTAGTTTCAGATACTTGAAACATGTAGTCGGGGAATACATAGGGGTTTATTGGGTGGATACCAGTTTAGTTTTGGAAAATCCATGAGCAGCATTCTTAGCTACTTTTTCATAGGCTTTATTTAACAGACAACCAATTTGGAACTGAGTCACAACTCGACTAGGATGAGCTTTTAGCCATTTGGTTATTTCTTGGTAGTAATAGGTTTTGAGTGGACCAGAAATGCTACATCGAGAGGTTGCATCCGATGTGTACAGTGAGCCGGCAAACATAAAAGTACAGTGCC